GGGGAGGGGGACCCCCGCCCCGTCCCTGCGCCGGAGTGGTTTTGTGTGCCTGCCAGAGACGCGGGGTGGGGGGACCGGCTGCCGCTTCCGCTTTGCCTTCCACCATCACCGGCCATTGGAGCCAAAGACTGCGGAATGACGGGCACAGTCAGCCAGGCAGCTCCATCACCAGGCAGGCGGGAGGAGGAGGAGGAGGAGGAAGCATCATGGACGTTGCGCCCATCGATCCGCTCCCGAGCAGCCAGGCCGCCCAGGGAGGCGCTCCCCGCCGACCCGGCCCTTTTGTCTCCCTGCCCCACGCCTTTGATGGGGCTGGGAAGCCACCCCGGCTGCGGGCCAGACTCACCTGCGCTGCGAAGATGCCCGCTTGCCTTGCGGGTGGCACAGAGAGGGTCAGCCCCTGTGCGAGGCGGGCGCCAGATGGAGCGGCCCCGGGCCCTTCCGGCCTTGCTCGGTCTGTCACCCTGGGGCAGCGCTGTGCCCCGGGGCGGGGCAGGTGGGCGCCGGGCTGGGGGGGGATGGGAGGAGGAGCCCTGGCCCCCCCCCCGGTGTGCTCGCTCGCCAGGCGGGCAGCCTGCGGTCGGCGGCGGGGTGTTTGTGGGCTGCCTGGAGCGGCCACCCGTTGCCGGAAGGGTCGCCCCGGTGGCAGAGGGGCCGTGGACAGTCCTCGCCGGGCTGCTCCCTCTGGGCAGTGACTGTGCTCGTTTCTCTGCTGCGTGAGCCTCCGCCTTCCGGAGTGGGGCGGCTGGCAGCCCGTTATCAGCCAGGAGGGGCTTGAGGGGAGCCGGGGCGGGCAGGCGGGGGGCCGCAGCAGGCCGGGCTGAGGCGGCTTCTGGGAGCCGTGGACCGCTGGCCAGCTGCGCACCTTGCCTGAGGCCTGTGCACGGCAGGCCTGCTGCCCCGCCACGGATGCCCACACACGTGGCGCTCTGGGCCAGGGCCTTCCGCTCTCCCGCCCTCTTCGCTGCTGCCCAGGCCATGCTTTATCTCGCCCCCCAAGCAGCCGCAGGCACCCCAAATGTGCCAAGCGGAGCGTCTTCAGAGCTGGCGTGTGGGGAGAGTGCGTGGCTTCCCTTGTGTGGAAGGGCTCGCTGACACCCTGTTTCTCGAGGCTCGAAGAACATGCGTGCTGGGATCGCTGGGACCTGTGGGGTGCCATGAGCTGAGCCACAATCCCCCCCATGCACGCGTCCGCTGGTCGCTCCCCCCAACTCACACCGCAAAGAACAGAACCCATCAATAGCAGCTTCCCATCTGTCTCTGAATCTGTAGATGCTTCAAGTGCATCGACAGATGTGTGCATTCTGCACCTATGTGAAACGGTTGCACAAGGACAGCTCTTTGGCATCGTGGCTGTTTTTGCTTCCAGGAGATTGTTTTGAAAAGGGCAAGTTTCTAGCCCATATGTTTGCAGGGAAGCTCAGGAATACAGGCAGGATGCGAAAGCTCAGGAGCTGGAGGTTTGAAATGCAGGGTTCGGGCCGCCCGTTTCACAGCCCTTGTGACAGTGCGCAACCTTTACAGATCGGAAGTGCTGGCTGAGCGGGAGAAGGCACCCGAGGTAACTCTGCCTTTGTTGCCACAGATTCTCATTCCGGTCATGGACGCAGCGTGTGCGGGCGCCTCGTCCCCCGCGGTGCCCTTGCCGCGTTCCGCTTGACGGTGCCTCAGGTCAGGCCCTGCCTTGCCAGGTGGCCTTGAACAAGCCCCCCCTCCCCCCCCCGCGTGTAAAAGTGCGAAGCGCAGCGGCCGGCCGGCCTGATGGCAGGGTCGATCGCACCGGCTCTGGAGCAGCCACAGTGCCTTGATCGGCAGTCCGTGGACACGCCTGCGGTCCCAGTTGTGCTTCTCACAACAGAGGGAGGGAGGGAGGGAGGGCGCCTCCTTCGGCTTCTCAGACATTCCTTGCGAAATCCCCGCCGCCAGCTGCATCATCCCCCCCTCCGCTTGCTTACGAACGAAGGAACCGTGCTCACCTGGGCCGGTGAGAGCGGCTTCCCGTCTGGGCCGCGCAGGCTCGCCTCTGCTGCCGCCCCAGGCGTTGCTCCATCTCCCGCCCCACCCTGCACTGCCGCTCCCCTCGAAGAGGCTTCCCTGCGAGCTGGAGCATGTGGCAGGCACCGCTGTGTTTCCATGGAAGCGCGGGCCTCGCCGGGCGGCCACGCGGGCCTTGCCCCGGCACCCGTTCTCAGAGCCAGCAGCGCTCGAACTTGCCGAGCAACAAGGGAGAGGGTGCCTCTGAGCATGTGCTGAGCGTCCCCCCCTCCCACCACTGAGCAGCCATGGTCTCTCCCCGTTCACTTGGGCTTGGGAGTTACTGAAATACTTTCTGGGCAGGCACAACCTGGCACCTTTCGTGTCGAGAGCGCCGGTCCGTGAGCACGGCCTGCGGATCGGGCGGCGTGTGCGCCCGCCCTCTCTCTCGTGGGCTGAGCCCGACGCCCGGGCACGGTGGAGCCTCACGGCTGCCTCTGCACCAGAAGGGCTGTTTTGGGGCAGACGCTCCGCCCTGTGCCGTGCACTTTGCAGGGCGCGTGACGTGGCTGGAGTGGACGGGCCCCGGGGAGGCGGAGCGCCGGGATGCCCCCTCCGCACGGCCCCTGGAGGCCGTCGTAGCACCAGCCCCATGTCTCCATGGATGTCCGAAGGGATGCACGGGGGGTGCCGTGGCGGGGCCTCCTGCAGCGCGTTCCCACCTGCGCATGTTCTTCTCCCCCCAGAGCGAACCTCCGACGGGCCACAGTGCCAGGAACTGCTGGGACACGGCCGAGGGGCCTGTGGGTCACAGAGCTGGAGAGCGTTGCGACTCCCAGCTGCCCCGGGCAGCACAGTCCGCGGCCCAGTAAGCTGAGAGCTGTGCTCTCGGGTTTCACCATCTGAGAGGCACCAAGCTGGGGCGAGTCACTCTAGACGTGGCACACCGGGGGCCTCGGAGGCCCTCTTGCACCGTGGAAGGAGCGGGGCAGGCGCAGTCCGCATCCTCGTGACTTCCTCACTGCGCGAAGCCCCCCCGCCCCGTTGGCCAGAAGGCCTAAGCATGCCAGCCGCGTGGCCCCCTGCCCAGGCCGGGCCGGGGGCCGGGGCCTTCTCGTGGTGCCCCTGCGTGCAGCCCTCTCGCATGGCACGCAGGGGCACTTCCCCAGCACCCTGCTCCTTCCCCAGGGCGCCTGACCCGCCCCTGACCTGCCGGGATGCTCCCTTTGACCTGCTTTACGGGGTGGTTGCTGAGATAATGGCTGCCACATCCCACACATCCGCCCGGAGAGCATCCGTGCCCGCGGATGGCCTCTGAAGGGCTTCCCGGGCGTGGCTGGGCTCCCTCGCCCGCGGCCAGCGGGGAGGTCTCTCTGCCACGTCCGGTCGGTGCTTGCAGGCTCCCCGCTGCATGGAGAGGCCCAACCGCCCTACCGGTTTCCCTAGCCACGGCAGGGCTGGCCGGCTGGCTGGTTGGGTGGCCTCCTTCAGTGTTGTCTTGAGGGATGAGGTGGCAGGGCAGGGCAGGGCCGCTTCCTGGCTTCCTCCTTTGTTTTTGCTGATCTCCTCGAGCGAGCGAGAGGGTGATCACATTCCAGAGGTAGCTTCCGAGGAGCAAGGTGCTGGCGGAAGGTCTTGTGGGATCTCCTCTGCTGGGCTTCTGCCGGAGATCTCGTTCCGTGAGGTGTCGTTGGCACTTGGTGCGGAAGCAAACTGGATCGTGCCCTGCGGAGGAGATCCAGTTCTCGGCATCGAAAGGATGTGACTGTCAGGGTCAGTGTTTTCTTCTCGATTCCTTCTTGAGCCCCTGGAGTGCCGCTTGCCGGGGCCGCCTGCCCTTGAGCGACAGCGCTGTCAGATGGCGCGGCTTTATCGAGCCGCCTCTGATCAGAGGGAGCGCTTTCAGCCCGTGTGCTGCTGGGAACTTTTCATTGGGAAGGAGCAGTGTGTGGTTATAGAAAGAGGTCGGTCGGTCGGTCGGTCGGTCGGTCTGTCTGTCAGTCCTCAGCAGCTCAGAGCGTTTCAAACTGCTGTTGCTTCGTGGCTGAGGGCAAGGGCACCTCGTCCGGGTCTAGAAGTCGTCCTTTCTGGGAGCCACTGAGGTTACTGGCTCACCCCGTGGGGCTCGGTAAAGAGGCCAGGATGGCTCTGCCCCCTGGTCACTGCGTTCAGACACCCCAGTAGCTCACACTCGGAGGCTGAGCTCTGGTCGAGCCTCGGCTGTTGCAACATGGGATGTCGTGTTCTCCGAACCACAAGCCACCCATGGTTCGTAACGCAACAACAGGTCTGGGGTTCTCTTCCTGGGTTGTTTGTGATTTAATGAACCATGGTTTCTTCGCATGGCTGGGTTCAGGCAACCCAGGATTCCATGATCCCCCACAGGTCTGGGGCAACCCAGAGCTGAGTGTTGCCTGAACCCAGCCTTCCCTGAAGCGTTGTGTATGTGCTGAATATGCCTTTAACCGGCCCAATGTTGCCCGTTTCTTGTACATTCTCGTGTCCGTCGAGTGTGCCACGGGGCGCATTTCATTCCCAGCCCGGTAGCTGATGTTGTGGTGGAGAGCTTTGCTTACAAGGCCGAGGGCTGTGGCCGCGAGAGTGCTTGCGTGGGGCTGGGCGGAGGGCTTGTGGGGCCCATCAGGAAACAGGTGCCTGGGCTTTGCCGGAGGGCTGCTGTGCACCTTCCCTTTCTGGGCCCCTCTGCCGGGACTCTGCAGCCTTTCGGCGAAACTTTCTGGTATTCTGTCTCCAGAGGACGGGGTACGAAACAGCCGTTTGGAGCTGCCCCTGGGTGAGGCTGAGAGCAGCTCCCGGGGGCCTCTTGGCTTTCATGCGCCTTCGCCGGCGGTGCCAGCCGTGCGCAGAGATCCACCTGCACAGTGGAGCACCTGGTGGGTGCCAGCCTTGGCCC